GTCTAATCTGACAGGACGGAGACACGCAGCTCTGCTCACCTGCAGCTCCTCCCGCTGTGATGCGGCGGTGAACGGAGTAAAACACACACTTCAAGTCCGATCATCACCCTTAGCTATTTTAATTACCTCTCAAACTACCTAAACTAGATATAAATATGTTTATTGTTACTGTCGGCCGGGTCACTCATTACTGGATCAGCTGCTGCATGAAACAGACACTGGCACTGTCCGAAGAGAGGGAGGAAAAGAGAGGCTCCGTGTATTTTATTATTATAATATATAGATTCGTTATTCATTTGTTTTAAAGCTCAATAAATAACAAAGAAGACCTTTTATAATTTTGTCGGAAGATTTAAACCTTAATACACGTTGACTGGCGAAAAAACTCTGCCCGGTTCCATCGGCCCCCACCGCGGAGAATAAACAGAAGGGCAACCATGACAACCATGCTTCTTCGCTGCTTTTGTGGAGGGAGTTACAGCGCCACGTACAGGCTCCTGCCTATGTACTGCAGCTTCTCCAGCGGTTGGAGCTAAACGGAGCTGTCTCGTGTGGACAGACACTATCCGGATGACTATTGCGTGTGGACGGAAGCTTTTTTGCGATTGCGTTTGCGTTAATCCTATGCGTTTAGCCGTTTTCGTCCTCGTGTGGCCGGGGCATAAGATTGAAAGGGGTGAGTGTGTCCTGCTCTCTTTTCTTGGAGCTCACTGCGGGTGGATTATAAGGAAACAGCTGGTTGCTCTTGAAAAAGGCCAAAATAACAAAAAGGATGTTGAGATCACTTAAAAGAAGATATTTATGCTTTTTCAACAGTGATATAACAAGGCTGATATGACTAGTGTAGAACTGGACAACTGCACCTAAAGTGTATTGCTTGTGATTGTAAAGCGTGGTGTGCGAGGATGATGAGTGTTTTGAACAGACAATAATAAATGATCCACTCACCCTGCTGCCTTTCACTCCTGCACAGTGGCATCTCGATTTCCCATTGCACACACCACTAGAAAGAAATTGTAAATTGTTCGATATGCATGTCTGCGTACATGGAAAAACAATATTATATAATTGAATTATATTTTGATATAGAAACAAGTTGTTTTCAAATACTTTTGACACACGTATAAAGCAAACCATGCTTCCCCCCACTTAACCAATATCGTTTCCATCTCACACTAACCACATTGCAGAAAGTGGTAACGCAAGTCAAATTGAAGATGGACTACAATAATAGTCCTTTCACCTGAGTCTTGACAGCCTCGCTAGCATACAAGCATTGTTGTTTTTTTTAATGTTGAAATAGATATTTTAGCTTTATTTCTTTAACCACGGCCATATTAATGTCACTAGAAGGGTCAATTCCACAGCTTGGAAACCACTGGGCATACAACCTCTAAAGGCTGTGTGCTGCTGATCCATCACTTGCAAACTCATCAAGAATTTGTTACATTCAAAATAGTTTACTGCATTTGTGGAGGATTAATTAAGCAATTCGCTCAAACAAGCTTCATAACTTCCAATTGTTTAGGTCTTACAACAATGTCTTTGTTTCACCACAGTGGCCTTTAACTTCAAGGCTGTAATCATTACTGCTCATCAGCATAGAAAAGGGGTTCATGGAAGCTAACAGAAAAGAGGGTGGAGCTACGCTAACAACTGATGGCAAGGACTGGGTTGTCCCTAGACTAAATAATAGGGTCAGTTATAGGTACTGATATAATGAATTATTATCAGGTGAAGTCATTTCAGATGCAATAAAATAAATAAATATCAAAATGTCGATGTTCAGACATTAACTACAGTGCACTGCTCCTTGACAAAACATGGGGAACATTTCTGTTGTACCACACAAGTCTCATATTGTTAAAAACTAAATTCCCTTGTGCAAATGTTATTATATTTAAGGATATCAACATTTTAAATTGTTATCTTTTCTTCATACGTTGGGAGATGTGTTTTGCCTAGGCTATAACAGTGGCTGGGTAATAACAGCATAACAAGTGATTTTCTCATTCTTTGTGATCACAGCCGTAAGAATTCTGAATTGTACTATTCATTTGGTTTTCTATTTAGTAATGTACAAATCTTTTTTTAACAAGAAGAACTATGTTTACTCATTTGTAATGTGTCTTTTCTTTGTAAGCTTTCAGTTTAGTGCTGGAGGTCTGTTGGTACGTGGCCCTGAAGTGCAAGACACCACAGCATTTCAGGAAAACACTACAGCATTTCAGAAAAACACCACAAGCATTTCACAAAACGCTACAGCATTTCACCAAACGCTACAGCATTTCACAAAACGCCACAGCATTTCACAAAACGCCACAGCATTTCACAAAACGCTACAGCATTTCACAAAACGCTACAGCATTTCAGAAAACACCACAGCATTTCTGAAAACACCACAGCATTTCACATTGGACGGAAAGGGTATTCCTTTAGGGAGAACACTTATTGTTTGTGATTGGATAGAGCCAGCCAGAGAAGCACTGCTGTGATTGGTTGTTTTGTCTGCCAGTCAATAAATGACGCTTCGTGATTGGTCAACACCCGACAGCGAAATATGTCCCAACACATCAGCTGTTAGCACACACTCAGAGCTCACAGCTCCTCATATCTGTTCAGAAACTGGACAAAAGTTAAACATGTACAAACCACAGACTGTCTATGTCATGATGAATACAGTCGCTGCTTTATTTATGTCTGTATGACGTTGTTGTGAGTGTGGACGGAGCAGCAAACAGGTTAGTTTAGCCTGATGGATCCGATTTCCATTCAGAAACACACGCATTTTAAAAGCTTTTTCGCCATGCCGTCTGTCTGCAGACTTGTTAAAACGTTAATTCATGGTTTTTACTAACCGTTATCAGTTATATAGTTGCTTCGGCATCACTTTGAAAACGTGTATTAGAATTAAATTACGGTCAAATATGTTCATTTACATATACAGCCGCGGTGAAACTCGAGCGATTAGAGCGATGCGAATATTGGGTGGTCTACCATAGTATTTACATGGAGATAAGCCCCTTAAAAATCATGAATGAATAAAGCATTAATTCTGTGTTTACTCCTGTCATTCAAACAAGACGCTGGAGAGGGGGCGGGCCGTATCTCCATGTAAATCCTATCGGAATCGGATCGATCAGGGCTAAACTAACCTGTAGCTGCTCCGTCCACGCTCACAACAACGTCATACAGACATAAATAAAGCAGCGACTGTATTCGCCATGACATAGACAGTCTGTGTTTTGTTTGTATATGTTTAACTTTTGTCCAGTTTCTGAACAGATATGAGGAGCTCTGAGTGTGTGGCTAACAGCTAACGGCTTATGATGTGTTGGGCCAATCACGAAGCGTAATTCTGACTGGCAGCAAAAACAACCAATCACAGCAGTGCTTCTATGGCTGGCTCTGTCCAATCACAACAAGAAGTGTTTCTCCCTAAGGAATACCCTTTCCGTCCAATGTGAAATGCTGTGGCGTTTAGTGAAATGCTGTGGTGTTTCTGAAATGCTGTGTGTTTTCTGAAATGCTGTGTGGCGTTTTCTGAAATGCTGTTGTGTTTTGTGAAATACTGTGGTGTCTTGCACTTCAGGGCCACGTAGTTTTGCTTATTTTCCCTTCTTTCCATATCCTGTCCCCTTTCAGTGACCGTCCATAAAGACGCCCACCAACATAGCCCAGTGAAGAGAATACTGTATACAATGAAGGAAATGTGCAAACAGAACTGCCAAAAAACATGCATCTCTTCAAGATTGAAGATGTTTAAAGCTGAGCGTAGTACTACAGTTACAAACAGACGACAACGTTGTATATCAAGTGAATGACAATTTCTACACATCAGGAAACAGATGAGCGTTCTGTCACAGAATAATGCAGGTTTCCCATAAACAGTGACTGAGTGCAATGTTGTGAGGTAAAGCTTAAACAGGAGATACGTTATTTAACTTAAATGTTACAGATGTATTGCCTAAAAACATTGTAACAGCCATGATAAAAGCTATGATACTTTTCACCCATCAACCATTATAGCTCAGCAACTAACACATTCTCTGCAGTATATTATTTAAGACATAAAAAGCAACAGTATGATCCTGACAGAATTACAAAAGGATAACTGCAATGCATTTCAATAAAAGTGCAGATAGGAGTCTGTTCTGTTAGATTTATAAAATCAGATCCATGTTATTTCAGTAAGGAAAATAAAACATCTTACATTGTTGGCCCCAGTGTCCATCAGCAACACAGCAAACAGGATCAGAGGAAACAGTGGCCTAGCCATGGCTCTTTTCTTGCCCCAGCAAAAAAAAGTACCCACTGACACCTCAGATGTGACGAGTAGTAACTGAGGAAGACGCTCAAAAATTCTCCCATCCACTGATATTCTATGGGTGATGTTAGGTCATGGCTTCAGTTGTATTAAGGTTCTTCGTCTGGATTAAAGGTACTTGATAGACAAGACAGCCCAGATAAACTGTTTAACTTGATCCTGTAGAGGGAGGTGGCCCGTGCTTTCCGATGCGGGTCAACCCCAAACATCATCCTTCTCATCGCCTCATCCCAAATACGCACAAACAGTGGCAGTTACTCTGTTTGGTTTTCACTGATACAGAGGCAGGAGATTAGTTCTTGTTGTCGGAGAGTATCCTGCTCACTGAGGCGTTCATGAAGATTCATTTGATATTCTGAAGTTGGGTGAGTTTTTAATCTTATTGTATCTGCATTATTCACTGTGTACATAGGCTGCAAAAAGTGTATGCTTAAAATATATCTGGTGGGTGGAAGTCTCATACCTACAATTTCTTTGTCAGTAGCAAATAGATATTTTTGAAATCATAATTACATGTACTACCTTCTACATCAAAAGAAAGTAATTTTTTACTGTCACATAATATCATCTGGCCCACAGCTCACAGGTGTTTCATGCTTCCTTCCTATTATCCATCACAGGGGGCAGCACTGAGGCCAACACTCACCTGTGAAGCAGACGGAAGAGAAGAAAGATGGGATCCTCAGTTACTGTAGTTACTCTGTCTCCCCTCAGGTGAGTCCCACTACAACAACATTTATATAAAGTTGTTAACTATATTGCACGCATATCATCAATATCTGTAGCAGCAGCTATATCACCAGACGAAGGGACAGTTTCATACCAGGCCATAAGACTGTTAAACACCTGCACTTTTGAAAGAACATCCATAACATGTATCTGGTTGCAACTTATATATCAATATTCCAATTATTGGTATATAGACTATTCTGCACTATTTCTATTATATTATATTTTATTTACTTGCAATATTATCTGTTTTATTGTGTTGCACTGTTGGAAGAGCCTGTGACCTAAGATTTTCATTGTCATAACTACACTGTAGCTATGTACAAAGGACAATGAAAGCCTTGAATCTTGAATCTATCTAATGATTACAACTAATAATGTTTTCTGACTGAACCGTATCACCACATCAGATATTCTTGATTAATGTATTTTTAAGTATTTTACATTTTTATTTTATGTTTAACACTGGCAACAATGATTCAGTAACATTTTATAAAAAATATATATATATCATATTTTTGACACAAATTAAACCTTCATCTGCAGAGCATACAGTATAAATCACAGTCCTGATACAGTAAATGCAATGAGGTATTTCTCATTCACTTCAAAGGAATTACCCTAATTTGTAAACCTACTGTATTTACCTGAAGGCAAACACATTTCCTGCTTGTTAACTGAGATATTAAACACATCTGCATACCGTTCCAACTCTGTATAAAACCTGACCTCCACTACAGTAGGCACACACACACAGTTACATTCTGTGGTCTCATCTAGTCTGATGAGAGTTCTGGTGGACAACATCTTTTTTACTTCCCTTCTGTAAATGTGCAGAATGACTACAGCTAATCTTTACCCACTGTTACATCCACAGGTGGATCCTTGTCCTCCTCATTATTGTGCAGCAGCTCAATGCAGTAAGGCTTTTCTTTTAAGTTGTCATTACATATATTCAAATTTAGATTAAAGCTATGACAACCTTTAAATCTCAAATCCTTGTATTTAATAATATATGTAAGGTTAATTTACTAAATAAACTGTGCAGAAAATTGTTTAGAAGATACTGTGTGAATATTTTGCTGCAAAAACAATTATCAGCAATCCACCTAAACTCAGACATTCGACAATACTGTAAGAGACAGCAGACATTTATTGTTATCAAAACTGTATTCAGTAATCCCATGAATCATGGCAAAACGTTGTGATATATACATTTTTAAATAATGGGAAGACAATTTCAATTGGGGCAACATATGCACTGAATAGCACTACATATAAGGATGAGCACAGATCACAGATTTTGCAAAAACTGATTTCAAAACTATGTTTAAATTATTTAGTTTGCTGGTGCCTCAATAGATTAAACATGCGTTTTAAGTACACTGGGTGAACTACATGAACTTGCAAAGATGAAATGGAGCCCTGACATGAACATTACAATTGGTTTGATGTGATGTGTTGTGTTGTGAAGTGATGGGCTTTGGTTGGGACTACTTTGTGAGGATGTTAAATTGGACTGTATTACATTGAAATTCATCATTTGCAGTTTAAGTAGGCTGCAAACATATTTGCACAAACACTGCTGCTGCTTACAGTAGCCTGGAATGTAGCTTAGGCCATCAAAAATAACGAACCATCAATTCAAGGCCAAGATCATGAACCTGATGCCCTCAAAGTATGTCACTGAGTGTAAGTAGCTTTCTAGTCCATACTTATGACCTGTAAACATTTGAGTTATGCCACATGCAGATGCTCTATAGTCAAGTGTTTCGAAGAAACAAATCCTTGATGCACTTACAGTAATGCACCTGGAAACTGTGTGTGTGGCTCTGTACTGTATGTCTTTATATAATGTAACCTCCACTTTCCAGCACAGGAATGCTTGGGGGGTTTTTTGTACACAAAGACAGTTTACTTCAGGTAGAGCGATGAGTGGCTGTTCTGATATTATCCTAAATGGCATAGGCCTGCCCTACTGCAACAGTAGGCCTACTGGTTTATATGTCAGCTGAAACGTAACAATAAATCACAATATAAAAATGCCAAACAAAAATATAAGTCTAACAGTCAATAAATAGTTTTAATACTATTTTTCTTTTAAAGTGTATCCACAACAGAAGACAATTGTCCCTGTCAGTATCCTAAAGTGTGGGAAAGCAGCTATGCGCAAGCCCAGAGTCTTGGGCAAAATAGAAACTGCAATCCACCTGAACGACTTGGACTATCTCCTACATCAGATAATTGAAGGTCTGGCTTCTGAATAAATTACCTGAGTTTAAAATCATCGCGGGATATTGTTTTAAAGATAAACTAAACATTCGGATAAAGTGTGGTGGGCCAATTTGGCTAAATGCTACCTTGTATCCCTGATCTGAACCCATGAAATTGTTTGATATTATGAATTGACTCGATTCATTACAGCAAGTTCTTAGCGTTACACTGTTTTGCTTCCCAACCAGTTTAGTCAGATTATCACCTGTGTTGAACTGTGTGGGAAATAAGAGACAGATGGTACAAATGTGTAGCTTTCTAGCTTTGCATCGGATCAACTCCTAAATTAACTAACACACCAGTTCAATTATCGTTATTGCCCTCCTCCCAAAATCGCATCTCTGATGTGTTTATACAACCTAGCTCTGAGCCACCGAAGGGAGGATATAACTCATGTTTATTCTTCTTATAACCAACATGAGTAGGCCTACCATGACATTTTAATAGTTTTTAAGCTACTTAACAGAAGTGCCTTAAATTCGTGTTGCTGTTTGGTACCCGAGTTATCGCGAGTGTTAGCCAAATCCCTCCCTCAAACACTGAGTGTATTGTCTTGGTTTAGCAACTGTTTCTATATCTGGCAAGTTTTTAATTGAATTATGTATGCTTATCTGTTAGGCATGTGGTTTAAATAGATCATTTTTTGGTAAATAAATACGAATTTGACCAGGCTTTCAACCTTCCTCAGAAAGAGCTATGTTGTGTATTTTGACATGCAAATGATTACAAGGGTGTTCAACACACTTTTTAAACCATTTAATGTGACTACTTTTTCGACATGTATTAAGGGGTAGTTAGTTGTAACCTTAAGTTTTAGGTTCTGTAGCTGTACTGGGCAATAGAGCCCGTCCAGTGTATTACTTTCTAACTATGTGATCCCAATATGCACTGAATCCAAATGGCTATCCAGGACTAGCCAACTGATGCTAGAGATACTCATTAAATGTTTGGACCAAAAGAGAAAGTGGGACAGCAGATGTGCGATAGAACTGAACTTCCCCAGCATAAACTCACCCAAATATTTGGTATTGTTTGAGAAAACATAACTAATGTTTGTGTCCGGAGAGACTGTTAGCCGACCCGTAGACACAAACATATTGGTGGGAATATTTAGCCATCTGGACAATCACAGAACAGTTTCTCAGCAAGAGAGTTTTGAGAAATGTGAGCTTTCCTTTCTCATCAAGGTCAGAGCGCTCATTATTACACAAAATCTCTGTGGAACATTGATTTGGTTTACAACTATCTAATCAGGACTGTCCAGTCTCCACAGGGATGTGGTCATTCTCAAGGCTACTAAAGCTCAGATGAAACTCAGGAATGTCAGAATATGCCCAAACCAAGACCTTATCTGCTGTTGCCCAGGCTGATGTGCCCGTGACACGGGAGGTCTTCTGTTCTGCATAGATAGCCTACACACAGCCTCAGCTAGTCTCCCTCTCTATCTCCCATTGCAGCATAATCTCACTCTATGGTTTGTTAATGTCTTTTGTTTCAGGGGAGCATTGATGGCCCATGCGAAGGCAGAGACTGCTCTGTATGTCAGTGTAATCCTGCTAAAGGTGCCCGGGTATGAACTTTATCTTCTATGGGTTGTGTATTGGGCAATGACCTCCTAAGGTTATTAATGTTCATTGTAAGAGATTTCAATAAGCGAGATAATCAAGTGTGGAAAATATTCATGGTAAATGTGTTTTCTTTTCGAAATTAATTCAAAATGAGGAGCAGTTATTGATTAGTTTTCATGATTTGACAAACATTACATCGCACTCTTAAGTCAAAAACGTAAATAACAAAGCAACACCACCAATTCCTGTATCCTAAAGGAAATAAATATTACTCACATCAACAGTTAGAAGTTTCAAGAGTTAAAGTTTTTTATACATGACTTTTCTCTTTGTAGGGGAGCTCCAGGGAGGCGGGACAGCAAGGGCCCCGGGGCCAATGGGGACCATGGGGACATCAAGGGGCATCTGGAGAGAAAGGCAGAGGGGAACAGAGGGAGCATGTTGGGCCCAGAAGGGCCCAAAGGAGACCGGGTGAGTGTTCATTTGTTCGGTGTTCATAAAGAAACAGAAAGGCAGATGATGCTTCAAAGTTTAACCAACCATCACAACAATGGCTTGGGAGGCAATAATGCAATCTAAACCTGAATTAATGAATCATGCACATATGTTTACATTTCAGGGCAAGACTGGTCTCCCTGGTTTTACTGGTAATGATGGCTCACATGTGAGTAAACCTATGGTGTTGTTTATTTTATTTCCTGAACCCTGTAGTAAAAATACTTCCTAACTTATTTTCTCCCATAGGATTAAATACATAATTGATCATGGTATTAGAAACTTTTCAATTTGTCATTTGATTTTCCAACTGCTTATACTTTAGAAATACAATATTACTTCTAAACAGTAAATGCTGCAGTGATTTTTAAGGTTGTGTCTGGTATGCCCTCTAGTGGAGACATCATGACATTCTGTAGATGTTGGCCTGTGTGTGTATGCCTGATGCAGCTGTCTCTTCACTAATGAAGTGTTTGAAAAAAACTCAAGTTGTTCATCTTTAACCATTATGTTATTGGAAAATATTATGGATTAACTATAGGCCTGACGCTATGGATACTGTTAAGCATAATTTATTCATGGTTTCAACGAAAGTCAAAGAGGTCATACAGTTTTCTTCGATTGCTTTTTTAATTGCTCAGTTTCTCAGAACACTAAATACAATTCAAAAAACCACACACCCAAAGTGCAAAACACCTAATTGCTCCTGCTAAATGAAGAACTGCACTCAAAACTACATAAACACTTACCAAATGCAAACTTTTGCACCAAATATAACTTCATTCATAATACTAGATTGTTTGACCACCCAACTACACACTGCTGAGCGTAATCTAAAGCACTTTCATCTTTTATGGGTTGTGCTCTGTGCATAGAGGTTTCTGCAGAGAAAGAAAAATAATTGTGCTTTATGTATAATTTTAGTGTGTTAGCAATCGAGAAAAACTGTAATAGTGCTTTCTAATATTTGTATGGTTTACATATTACATCTATTGTTCAGGGCCACCCTGGAGCAGGCGGTGAGCCTGGTTGCTGGGAGCTGATGGCTGTAACGGGACAAGGGGTCGACCAGGAGTCGATGGTATTCCTGGTTTTGGTGGTCTCCATGGGCAACCGGCGAGTAAAACTCCTCATCAGATATTTCTGTTATTGCGATTATTTGAACATTATATTGTCTTTCAGATGTCTATCTTAAGCCTTTCGACAAAACTTAAAGTGGACCTATCATGCTATATTTGAATAATATATTGTAGAGCCATACCTATATAAAACATGTCTGTGAAGTTTTTTTTTCAAAATACCAAACAGATCATGCATTTTAGCCATGCCTCATTTCGCTCTATTTACTGTTTTCCAGCCCTGTCTTCACAAGGGCTGATTCTGTGGCAAATGAGCTGCAGCTGACCACGCCCCCCCTGCAAAGCAGGGGGGCGAGGCACAAGCGTCATGTTACCATGCTGTTACCATGCCACGCAACCTCTCATTCCCCTGATAGGTGGAGAGTTGCCCATATAGGCGGAGCTCCCTGTTTCTGACGTCAGAACAATTTCAAATCTGTATCAGTCTGTATCAGATCCGTTGCAGCCCCGTTTTTAGAGATTTGGGTATGGAGGAAAAGAGAGAGGGTTGTGTTTTCTGACACTTGGTGAGTTCCTTGACACACCGGGGACACATATTCATGTATAAAAGACGTACAAAGGTGCATTTTGCACGATAGGTCCCCTTTAAGGTTCACTAAAGTTATGCTGAAAATCAAATGGCTAGAATATAAAAAATCCCCAGAAGTTATATCCTGCGTTAATGGTTGTGAAGCACACAATTTACCTTCAATACCCACATTCAGATTCCCTGGCAAAGCATACATTTGTGTCACATTAGAATTGCACATACGTAGATGAATATGGTTGTGAAGGTCTCGTGGTGGTTGGACATGAGGACAAGAGGCCCGAGTTTGTGCCCTGTCTCCCATCAGCAGTTAGCTTTTTAAATGTTTACAGTGATATTTTCCTAAAGAACTGCAGTTCACTTTAACAGATGCAGCTTTTGTAGCAATAATTAATTGAAGACCTGAATTTTGACAAACGTTCTCACTGAACATAATTCAAGGTTTGGACACATTATCCTGTATTAACTTCCCAGTGATTTGTTTAAACTAAGTATTAACAACGAATACTGTGTATGTAATTGTAACCCTCCTGGCTGTTGCTTGTAATGTGTCTACTGTTAACATGTATTGTGTTTTCTTATTAGGGTTTACACGGACACAAAGGCATTAAAGGAGAACCTGTCTATGGGGCTGGACATCCGGTAAATTCCATTAGTTTTGAGAAGCTCTTATAATAACAAACTGGGCTTCACAAGTTTCAAAACGCATTTCTGTTTCAGCAGTTTCATAAGTGTTGCAATGTACACTGTCTGTTCATCATTCTCAAATGTATTTTGTGTTATCCTACAGGGGGAGCATGGTAGAGATGGACAACGTGGTCTGGACGTATGTTATGTTTTCTTATTTTGACAGTAATTCAGTATTCCCCTTGTAATATTCTAAACGAAGAATCCTCCAAGCCCTTCTTTGCTAAGAAATTAGGCAGGAATGCTTTCAATTTCCCAATCGGCTTATAGTTTAACTGACTCTACTTCATGTTTACTTTCTTTAACATTATTGTTGTTTCTAAATCAGGGAAGAAAAGGAGACATTGGACCTAGTGGACACACTGGCCGTCGTGGCGATAATGGATATGAGGTGAACATAAGTTTTTTGGAGGTTGTACTAAAGAACATTATATTACTAAACATGCATGGTAAGCAGAAATATGTTATGACCGTTAATGTTCATGATTGAATTTACAAAGATAAATACACAGGTAAAATAATGTATATGTGTGATTCCATTTAGGGTTTGGATGGATTAAACGGTGTGAGAGGACCACCAGTGAGTCACCTTTTTCCCAATATTTCCCAATAATTGCTCTTAAAGAAAGAAATGTACACGTGCATGAACACACATCCATTACACTTTTCTATACTTTTGATTGTTGTGTAGGGTGACAACGGAGGATCTCTGGCAGGAGCTGAAGGTGACTCTGTAAGAAACCATTTTGGCCTTTCAAAGCTATGCACCAAGGTTTTGTGATGTGAGTGTGTTTGTGTGTGTGTGTGTGTGTGTGTGTGTGTGTGTGTGTGTGGTGTGTGTGTGTGTGTGTGTGTGTGTGTGTGTGTGTATGTGTGTGTGTGCTTACAACACCAGTAATCAACTTCACCACTTGATATTCCAGGGGGAACAAGGCCCACCTGGCCAACCTGGCCCGGACGGAGAAGAAGAATCCAAACAATTTCCTCTAGAAATTCTTCCAGCCAAAGGTTACAAGGTGACATCAAAGCTCTTATTTGTGATTTTACAAGACTAATGCATTTTAACTACTGCATAGATGTGTATAAAGACAAATATGTTCTTCTTCTTCTCAGGGAGAGCAAGGTCCTTCTGGACCATGTGGACCAAAGGGCATAAGAGTGAGTTAAAATGTCAGCATACACTTGTCTCAGAGAAAGAGAAAGTTGTTTTATTTTCATTTTCGTTTCTTATCAGGGCGGTATAGGAGACTACAGCATTCAAGGAATGAAAGGAGAGCAAGGAATCCCCGGTTTTCCTGGATTGAGGGTTTGTGACTCAAATCACACTGAAACATGCTTTTAGACAACACTATTCACTCCATTGTTTCCATCTGTAGGGTCTTTCAGGAATGCCTGCTAGAGATGGACTTCCCGGACCTGAGGTAAATCTTTAATAGGAGGACTAACCCTTCCCTATGTTAGTATTTTTTTGCAATTTCTAGGTTAAATACATTGATACATACTTTCAGGGTGTCCATGGAGAGAAAGGATTTCCAGGACTCATTGGAAGGAATGGAACAAAGGTAAGCGTTCGATAAACATTAAATACATTTGCATTACAATTTGAACAAAATTAAAAAAGCTTATGTTAGGTTCAAACAGTAGCCGATGTTTTGTAAAATGTATATTCATTAAACATCTACTCCGAGGGTAAAGTCTGACATTGACAGGAATCTGTTTTTTGTTTTAGCAGTATCTTTGTGATACTTTTGTTCCACTTACAATTAAAAGTGTTCTTCAAATATAGGATCAAAGTAAAGAAGAACTGTGGCCCTCTGGTGGTCATTTAGTGTCACATTTGCACCATATCTACAGTACATCAGTGGCATTTTCTGTTTATAAGTTATAACTATGGTTTCTGTCTTTGTCTTTGCATCCAACAGGGTAACCAAGGAGATCCAGGTCACCCAGGTCCCCCAGGTCTCCTGCAATTGCTCAATGGAAGTGATGCCAGAGGTGAGACGACAGCTGAAGCTACACTCTTCATACTGATTGAACTATTTTTGGGCAATAGAAGCACTGTCTTATTAGATGTCTAAATAAAATTATTTATTGAATTAAAGGCCAATAGTTAACAACCTTAGTCTTTCTGATTTGACTAATATGAGTTCAGCATATTGGCAAAACAATGTTCACACTGTTGCTGTAGATGCAAGTGGAATGCATCGAGTATACTCCCCCTTAAATTGAATTATGTCAGTAACAATATATTTTTTTAAAAAGCATCCTGGTCGTTTCTGCTGTAACAATGTACATTTCCCCTCTGTGGGACTAATAAAGGTATTCTGATTGTGATTCTGAGTAAGACTGAATCAGAAACAAGGTATATATACAAACAGTTTTAAATATGAGACAATAACAAATATTTAGGACAGTAATTAAGCCTTACTGACTTTTTCATGGTTCTGTGTTTGCACGGCTTAGGTGTTAAGGGTGACAATGGGAGTCCTGGATTAGCTGGACACCCAGGTGACCCTGGGCTCATGGGCATGCATGGACCTCCTGGCCCACCAGGGTTAACAATACCAGGTCAGAGTTGGTTTCTCACTTTCCAGTTACTGCTGACTTATCACCGAGTATATCCCGACAGTTAAAAACTCAGTCAGTCAGTGTTGATGCTACCTTATTGTCAGTTTCACATCATCTTTCACACCCTACTAGAAGTGCCTGGGCTGCCTGGTCAACGAGGGATCCTCGGTCCCAAGGGGCACAAGGGAGAGCCAGGAAGGTATAACAACTATGATAATCCATATCCGGGACCAAAGGGAGTTAAAGGACTCCTCGGGCATAAAGGTGTCACAGGCTCCCCGGGGCCTCCAGGTATATCAATACTTTGTTTATGTTTAACACACTATGTGTAAGTAAATATACGTGTAAGTTAATTTGACAAATGTATGTCATTATTTGTTAAGCTAGGTTTTTGATGTTTTATTTTGAAGATTTACTTACCTTTTCTGTGTGTGTGTGTGTGTGTGTGTGTGTGTGTGTGTGTGTGTGTGTGTGTGTGTGTGTGTGTGTGTGGGTGTGTGTGTGTGTGTGTGTGTGTGTGTGTGTGTGTGTGTGTGCATTCTTGTACAGGTGAGTTCTCTATTACCTCTGATTGAAAACAAGTCCATAATTGTTTGCATTTGAAATGCTTCCTTAAGTTTTTAACTTCATTGATTGATTGTTGATATACAGATTACTACTGTGAGCCTGGTTACCCAGGGGACCCAGGTGATCCAGGCCATAATGGCCCCAGTGGAAACAAAGGACTCAAAGGAATTAAAGGTGATCTCTGACTCTTTATTGAGTCTACAAGCAGAATGTTATAGAATTCAGTGGGTATAACAGTACAGAATATGCAAACACTGCATCTTAGCCATACATTGTGTCCCTCTGTCTTCTACAGGTTGTCTAGGGGAATGTAACTGTAGGTCTGGAGGAGTAGGAAGAGAAGGTCGCAACGGTCCAACTGGTTTTCCAGGTTCTCCAGGGATTCCTGGAACTCAAGGACTTAAGGGAGACCCTGGGCTAAAAGGACATGACAGTCCAAGAGGACCAGAAGTAAGGACAGTAGGAAAACAAACTAACTCATAATTAAAGTGTAGTGTGTAGTTTTGTATTTGACTATGTTTTTCTGCAGGGCTTTCCAGGTATTCCTGGTATTAAAGGACATAAGGGTCAAAAAGGTCACTCTTTTGTGTCAGACGTTAAAGGTGAGAACCTGTCCTATACACAATATTATTGGACAAGCAAAGTGAATACGTACTTTAAATGCTTGGCAACATCTATGTCAACAGTAGCTTGAAATAAAAGTTGGTTGGATTTGTCTTTTGATAACATTGATTGATATACATACCAGGTGTTGTTAAGAATTGATAGCCTCCATTGTAATATCATTTTATTGTTGTTGTTGATAGGTGCCAAGGGTGACCTAGGAGACCCTGGCCATTCTGGTCCTCCTGGAGCATCAGGTGGATCAGGAAGAGATGCCCCCCCTGGCCCTGCAGGAGACCCTGGAACACCGGTGAGTGTGCACCTTTTTAAGTGCTGTACATTATTATTTCTGAACTAGAAAATTATTTTCAATTTGCTACGCTCAGTTTTGGTTGTGTAGTTATGGTTTTGGGTAACATTTTTACAGGGTGCTGGATTTGCAGTGTTACCTGGTCCCAAAGGGTACCCTGGTGCTGCTGGACCCAAAGGGTTTCACGGTCCTATTGGCCCCCCCGGTCCTGGTTTTCCAGGCCCTAAGGGGCTCCATGGACCTAAGGGTTATCAGGGAAGTCATGGCCCCTCAGGAATTCCTGGACGACCAGGCCCTCCAGGTCAGATACCTGATTTCAGAGATTCTCCGTTGGTGTTAATGAACCCCTTCAGCAGGTGTCAGGGACTCAACAAGTATGTTGCATTTGTGTCCCAAGGTGAAAATGGGTTATGCTGTCATGATTATGAGATTGGACTACCGGGTCCTGATGGTGAACCAGGATCACCGGGTAAGTCTTACAGTCGTTCCACATACTATCATTGATTAAAAAACATTGTCAATGCAAAAATCACATCTTTCTGTCAAAGGCGGTTGCTATATTGTTTGTTGACAAGTCACATGTCATTACAAGGAATGGCTTAGGACCCTTGAAATATTTGTGGTCCATGTTGCGAGACACATTTTCTTTGGCTCTTTGTAGGTATTCCAGGTGAGCCAGGAAGAGTTGGTCCTCCAGGAACTCTGGGACACCCAGGCCCGAAAGGCATGACAGGAGATGACACTAGTACTGGTGGGATTGGACGGATAGGTAACAACTCTCTAAAATGTCAAATTAGATTCATACACAATTTTATAAAGATTGTTCTTCATTGGAGAGCCCCTGTTTAAAGTTTTGCATCCACACTGCAGACAAAAATCAGGTAATGATTGACTATAAAGTTAGAGTGGGTGATTTGTGCGCTAATACTGTAGGTCTCTATTTTGTATAGGACTTCAAGGTTTAGATGGGGATCCAGGTGAACCTGGTTCCAGCGTAATTAGCCTGGTTGGCCCTCCAGGCACTCCTGGGTTTCGCGGACATCCAGGCAGGAAGGGTGAGCCAGGCGATGTTTTCTCTGCCAGGCCATGTGATACTGGACCACCTGGCCTCCCTGGGCTTCTGGGGAAGAAAGGACTACGGGGCATTCCTGGAATCCCAGGGCCTCCAGGTAAGTTGTATCTCTATTTAGGTAAACACAAACAAACCACAGAACAATGTAGGCTTCAGTTAATTTGGCCTATTTCACTCAAAAAGAGTGTTACAGTGTACTTCCCATTCTAATCTGTGCATTGGAGTTGTTTGGTTCAACGTTGATGCCTCGTAATTACAGGGGAACAAGGCCTGCCTGGATCACCTGGTTGGAAAGGAGGGCCAGGATCCAGTGGTGACCCTGGGGCCACTGGTCCCCGAGGCCCACCTTGCACTGCATTTGAACTGAATGGACCTCCAGGCCCTCCAGGCCCTACAGGAGACACTGGACAGAGGGGGATACCAGGTGATCACACAGAGGCAGCAATCATCATTTTGTTTCTCTGTCTCTCTGGGTGTCCATCTTTATGTCCCCTAGAAATGTCAAACTTATATTAATTACATTCATGAATGACTAGTTGTGAAGCCACCATCTAACCATCCATTAACACATTCTCTCTTTGAATTGTAAAATGTTGCATAGGCTTCCCTGGTCAGAAGGGTTTGAAGGGAGATATAGGTCCACCTGGTCATGGACTGAGGGGTCCAAAAGGTTTCCCTGGCCTTCCTGGATTATCAGTGGTTGGACCAAGAGGCCCTTATGGCCTCTCAGGAGAGCCTGGGGCTGACGGCTGGCCAGGACAGAAAGGTGAACCACTGACCTAGAATGATAGGATGATGTTGGAGAAATCACTGTGTCTTTAATCATTTCAAAATCTGACAGGCTTTTCGTACATTGTCTACACCATCCACACATACAAAGTTGTACCTGTGCCTATGTACACACTTCCTCCAGACACCAAAAGTATAACCAACATCTGATCCCCACATTACCATCATCACACTCCAAGTCGGAGCTGTTAAAGTATGTCACTGACCAAATATAGATTTCATCCCCCGAATACAATAACAAAAACGTCTTCACTAAAACCCAATCCACATTTTTTCAGCAATATTTTTTATCTAGAAAATAGTCCGTCCTTATTATGAATTAAATGATGCTTTCCTTTCAATTCATCTAGGGGAAAGTGGGTACCCAGGCAGGCCTGTGTCCATAGGTTTGCCAGGCCGTCCTGGACCTGCAGGGCCCAGGGGTAAACAAGGAGAGAGAGGCTTTACCGGTCACACAGGGGACCCTGGATACCCAGGAGAGCCTGGTAATAAAGGTACGTTTCCATTTGAAAATCATAGCTTCTTATAGATATATTTATTGGCATTTTGTTATAACTCTGTTGTCCATCCAGGTGTACGTGGTTTACCAGGATTACCAGGACCTATATCGATTCTGAATGTAATAAAGGGCCAACCAGGACTTTCTGGAAGTGAGGGGCAAAAAGGAGAACAAGGACCTGAAGGCAAGGAAGCTTACATCAAACTTATACATCTTTTGTAAACATTAAGAAGATGATTCCTTGAAGTCCAGGTTGATCAATTAAAAAGACTTACTTAAGATTGTGTTAAACAGTATACAGTAGGACTACGACAATATTAGTTTGTCTGTGCTAACAGGCTCAAAGGGCCCGAGGGGACCACCTGGGGATTCGGGGTCAGATGGATTGCCTGGTTCTCCAGGGTTTAGAGGCAGCACCGGTGCTCCAGGTAGAGCAGGAAGAACAGGGTCTCCAGGGTCCCCTGGAATCAAAGGGTTCCCTGGTCCAAGGGGATATGCTGGACACCTTGGAGATACGGTACACAAAACAAATAAACTTTTCTCTTAATAATTTTTGGAAACAGCTGTCTTTATTCCGTTTTTTCTTTAAATATATCCAGAATATACTCAAATAAAATGAAAAATGTCAGCAACATATCATTTCTGATAATTCAATCCTGCAACGCACACCCACTGTGAACACGTTTTTCCTATTTTGTTTTTTATTAAGTTAAGGGCTAGTCTTATGTTTAATTACCTGTAGAACACATACAATATAAGTGGTTCAACATATCATAATTCATTGTAAGTCAGTCTCTGAAGTGATGTGATTTTGAATGCATGTGTTTATGTCTTTTAAAGGGATATCAAGGGCCTTATGGACCATCGGGTATCTCAGGGTTACTAGGGTTTCCAGGTGCCAAAGGTGAGTCAAAAGATAATGATTCAACTGAAGCAACATCGGAATGGATCATTAGTATTTTTTCCACTTTGATCAGAAATGTTGTAGTATATTGCTATAAAAATTGCAGATGCAGTTAAGTATTTACAACTCTAAAGCCCAATACAATCCCAGGATGTCTTACCTTATCTGAAATCTGTTCCAGGTGACCGGGGACTCTCTTATGGACAACCTGGTCCACCTGGACTCAAAGGGATGCGAGGGGATGATGGACAGAGTGGTGAGTACAGAAAATACCACACGCTGGTGGGCAGCAAGGATGCCCCCATAACGTTTTGAGTTTCCTAGAATATATTATACTCTAAGTGGAGGTATAACTTTAATTACATGTATATCCACACAATAATTCCCTTGAGTGCCCAGAGGGATTCCAGGAGATCCAGGAGACCCAGGACCCCGGGGAAGGTCAGGACAACCAGGACCACCCGGCATTAATGCGGAGCAGGGAAGAATAGGAGGACCAGGTAATTTGTGTCAGAGAATGTTACGTGTGTGTGTGTGTATATAAACATATTACCATTTTGTCAATGAAATTATAATCCTAATGTTGCCACTGTGCATCTTTATTTCAGCTGTGTGTGTGTGTGTGTGTGTGTGTGTGTGTGTGTGTGTGTGTGTGTGTATGTGTGTGTGTATGTGTGTGTGTCTTATCTTATATTGTATTGATTTTGTGTAATTGCTGTTTTTGTAAATACAAACTGGATTTTGTATGTACATTACATTACATTACATTACATTGCATTTAGCTGACGCTTTTATCCAAAGTGACTTACAATAAGTACATTCGACCAGGAAGACACAACCTTGAAGAAAACAGAATCATATAAGTACATCAGGTTTCATAGAGCCAACACATTTCAAGTGCTACTCAACTGGCTTTAGGTAAGCCAGTCCTTTATTAGTATAAAAGTGCTTCGTTAATAGTTCTAACGCTCGAAGTGGAGTCGAAAGAGATGAGTTTGTATGTATGCTTTTGGAGGCACACCTGGCAACTTTAACACAATCCAATCAGCCAATTAGGTGGCAGAAAATGATGCTTTTGGCACATTAACCAGCAGTTGACAGGTGTACCTGAAACATTGGGTGTGAGTGTAATGTACTGCATGAGGGTAGAAATGAAGGAACACTGCTTATTTTCGACCTTAAAGTCAGGAATGCTCCATGATGGTTGGGACGTTTTTATGTGTGTGTCTCAGGCTTCCCCGGGCCTCGTGGCTCTTCCGGTCGTCCAGGTATTCCAGGTCTGCCAGGCGATCATGGAGGTCTGGGACCACCTGGCCCACCTGGCCCATATGGGCATCCAGGTACTAACATTGTTTTTTAACATGGGATGGGCAGGGTACAGGCAATGTAAGCGTTATTTGTGCTGACTTATATTGGCACAATTCATATATAATCACTTTGCTTTATTTCAGTATGAATGGGGTTCTAAGATGTGCATGCCAAAAACCTAATAAGAGTATTCTTTTGTTTTACTGGCATTTTATATAAGGGACCCCTGGACCACCAGGTCTTGATGGACTGGATGGGCTTAGAGGTCCAAAAGGGATAAAAGGCGAGAGTGGTAAGAATGAGTTTCATCATAACTTTAAATATAGTAAAGCAATCATTTATTTGTATTTATTTTATCTGTTGGTATACTTTTTATGTGCATGTAGTATATAGTACACATAATAAATTGTTAAAGCATAATTTCAGCTATACCGTATACCTTTTTTTTTCATTCATACCCCAACCCCAGCCCTTATCACCACTACCAATACCTCCCGTTTCAAGTGTTTAGAAAACCTACAAGAGTCTTATAGGTGCAGAGTGCAGACACACCACTTAAAGCTGCTACTTCAAATTAAACATGGAAGGCCCTCTCCAGAGAGTACCATGTAGCAGAGCCCTTCATATTTGAATATACAGATAAGCTAACAAAAAACAAAGCAATTATACACTGTTGAGAACATAACAATCCTTTAATAATTTCCTTGTTTAGTGCCTCAAGCCATAGATTTCCCTGGCCCTCCTGGACCAGATGGTCTTCTTGGAGTCAAAGGTGTCAGGGGACAGCAAGGGTCTCCAGGAGCCAGTTTTCCTGGGCCTAAAGGCCAGAGAGGCCCGTCTGGCTTCACAGGTATCAAATATCTATTTCTACTAACACATCATCTACTGCATGTCTGCATCTGCTTATGATAGTGGTGGAAAATGAACTGTTGGAGACAAACATTTTTGTTAGCACTTTCTGGCACTATATTTGCTTTTTGTTGAATGTATTTACTGTCCCATTCCTCTATACAATACACTTTTCTCTGTTTGTTCCCTCAGGTATTCCAGGCTCCCCAGGTGAACTTGGGAACCCTGGCATAGAGTGCTTCAGGCCTCCACCAGGACCCTACGGGGACATAGGATATAAAGGACCCCCAGGACCCCCTGGTGTGTTTCTGTGTACCTATTTATATCTGTCCATTTGTTTATCTTTGTCTCCATTTTTTGTGTGGCCCCATTTGGGAATGAACATTGTTAGGAGGTTTATGTTTAAGTGTAGGTGTACCTTTCTTTTTGTCTTTAATTGGGCTGTTGTGTTGCGTTTTTAGGCCCTCCTGGGGAGCCGGGCCTTCCAGGCAGCAGCATTCACTCCAAAGGAGACCCAGGTCCAACCGGCCTCCCTGGGTTACCAGGCCGCAAGGGCGATGGTGGCCCCTCAGGGCCTCCTGGGTCACAGGGCTACCCAGGGGTTACAAGGCCAAAAGGTATACTAGGTGCATTGCTGTTGCCATCAGTATTTACTGTGTTGCCATCCACTTAAATGCACTCAAAATGGTGCTGCACTTTGACAGGTGAGAGAGGACCTGCTAGTCTCGAAGGTCCTCCAGGCCCCAAGGGTCAGACCGGGGTCCCTGGGCCTTGGGGACGGAAGGAGCAACTGGCCAAACTGGGGCAACAGGTAAGTGGCAACTAAATGGCAAAGAGGTATGCCATTATTTCTATGCCCACACAATCTGGTGAAGACATCTGTTAAATGTGAGTGTGTGTGTGCATTTACGTTTCAATGACTGACGGTATTTAAGTTACATTAAAAAGTTGTAAGATTCTTTACATATTGTGTTTTACCTTTATTCGTTTAGAAATATGTATTATTTATTAAACACTAGTGAGTGTTGTGGTGTTTGTTACAGTAGTACATCTGGTAATCAATGTTTTTTGTTTTTTTTCCAAGGTGCCAAAGGTGCTCCTGGTGGTTCCATCAGTATCGACCAAGGTGGGACTCCACCTGGACTCCTGGGACCGCGTGGATTCCCAGGATTTGTGGGATATCCCGGTGATGCAGGTCCTCCTGGGACACCAGGACGTAAAGGCAAGAATGTCTAATATATTCTTAATGTCTAATTCATGTTTACATATTATGGTCTGAATAAATCTGTGTTGTGTGTGTTTATCCTCATTTGTCTGTATGTGTCTGTATGCGCTTCAGGACTGAAGGGTCCTGTAGGGTATGTTGGCCTCCCTGGCAAACCAGGTCCTGCTGGTCGTGATGGTCCTGTTGGAGACCCAGGAGACATTGGTCAGCAAGGATTTACTGGACCTCAAGGTAAATTATAAGATGCAGCCATTTAGAACTGTCCCAAATCAAAGGTTTGAAGTGTCATTTATAGTGTTGACATACAATGTGCTGATGACTGCCCGTCTCCTTCTGAAGATCTGAAAAAGTTATAAAAATTACATATCAAAATGACTTCCTCCAATAAATAGCAAATGTAATCGCTGCCTAACTCCTATCCACCTTCCATGTCACTAACTTGCTGCTTGTTAAACTGCTCCAGGTATCCCAGGTACACCCGGTGATCAAGGTAATCCAGGCCATAGAGGGGCGCTGAGGTCAGGCTACCTTTTGGTTGTCCACAGTCAGTCAGTTCAGGTGCCACGATGCCCTGAAGGCAGCAGCCCGCTTTGGGTCGGCTACAGTCTGGTCTACTTGGAGGGGCAAGAGAAGGCTCACACTCAAGACCTGGGTAAGTGTCTGCATAAAGTGATAGTTTTGCTGGAAAAATGCATCAGTCTGACTGTATGTGTTATTATTTGCCTCTTTTATTCTCTGTCTCTCTTCTTAACATATTCTTCCTGTAGGCCAGGCTGGCTCCTGTCTCCGTGTTTTCTCCACCATGCCTTTCTCCTACTGCAACAAAGCTGCCTGCGACTACTCCAGTCGCAACGACAAATCCTATTGGCTCTCCACCACCGCTCCCATACCCATGATGCCCCTCTTCGGCCAGGAGATTAGCTCCCATATCAGTCGCTGTGCGGTGTGTGAGACTGTTGCGCCTGCAGTGGCTTTTCACAGCCAGGATCACAACGTCCCCTCATGCCCACGTGGCTGGAGGAGCCTGTGGACGGGATACTCTTTCCTCCATGTGAGTGTGACAATATTTGTTAAAGGTCACCTATTATGCAAAATCCACTTTTCTGATCAGCTCGGAAATGAGCTGATCAGATTTTGGCCACTTTATGATGTCATAACAATTTGGCTTGTGTAACCATTAGCCAATAACCAACCAAGGTAACCCCCCCCCCTCCACCTTATCACCTGAATCTTCTCCCAGCGCACCAATAGGCACTTTCACACCAAGTACTTTGCCGTACTTAGTTCTTCAGAACTCAGTTCATCAGAACTCTTTAGTTCTGATGAACTAAAGAGCAGATCGCGTTCACACCGGAATAAGTCCCTGAGGGAGGATTAGGCAAATGAAGCCGATGACGTCACTTCTTCTTCTTCTGCTTTGGGTTTACTGGCAGGCCGCAAACAACTTCACGGCGTATACTGCCACCCGAAGTACCCGGCCGGAAGTCCCCGGGGTTGGGGACTGGCTTCAGTAGAAGCTGCTGGGAGTCTTCATGCCTGCTGCAGTAAATCGCCAGAAACGCCGACACCTCCTCATCTCCACCGCTCCCATGTTTTCTTTTGTGTTGCCATAAGTTAGTCTCTCTCCGTTTGTGCGCTGGGCTAATGCTAATAATGCTAATGCAAGGAAAATAAAATGGCGGCTTCACAAAACTTTTTGGGAGTTTTAGGGGGAGTGGTTTGCAATCCGCCCAGCCAATCAGAAATGGGAACCTTTTTCTCCCATGAAAGTACCTGCTCTCTAGCAGGGACTGAAAAGGGGGTGAAAAGGTTCTCATGAACTAAATTCTAGTTCCGGATTTATTTGGTGTGAAATTTTCGGAACTATAGGCTACTGGGAAAAGTACTCCGGTGTGAAAGCGCCTATTGTGTTCTTTTTAACCAAACATAGCTCAGAGGGGCGTGGGGAGTGGCTCCTTATTTTCATCTAAAGTAAAAGACAGAAGCCTCATCCCAATACCCCTCCTCGACTCCTCTCTTCCCCTCCTCCGGGACTTGACCCGGAAATTAACAAAACGTCATTTTGAAGGACGTCCCAATAGCTGAAATGCACACGCAGGAGTCGAGGAGGGGTGAGGGAGGAGGGGTGCGGGAGGAGACGAAAGGGAGGATACACGAGAGCAGACTATGCGGAAGTAGGCTTGTTTAGACAAGCGAGACCTGCGCAGACCTGCGCAATTTCGATCAACGTCTTACTCGTGCGTTGCATGATGGTTAGTCATTTTGTCCGACTTGCTCTGGAGGCTCGCCTACATGAGACGTTGAAATCTCGCGGGACAAAGACGCCCGCAGCCTTGAGAGCGAGGCGCGGCGAGGCGGCGCAGTTCCTCTCCACGGGCTGCGGAAGCGAAATGCTTGATGGGAAACGTCTCGCTGGTATCTCGAGCTGAGCACTCATTGGTGGTTTTTTCCACGTGCTGGTGATGAAACTCTCCAATTGGCTCGGCAAAAGTTTGTTGTTGTTTTGTGTCCGTTTTACGTCGCCACTTCCATTCTCATTTTTCATCATTGTTCCACAATATTTATCATCATTAAATTAATATCCATATATTTTATACTTTACTTGCACTGCTTACCGTTTTCATACTTTATATATCTTAGCATATTCATACACACTGTTCATACTGCTCTCAGGCTGCTGTGTATATCTAGTGTATTCATACCCCTCACTGTTTATTCATCATTCAATTAATTCTATATTTTATTCTGTAGATTGTGTACATTACTTTTCACTCTGCTTGTTGCACCTGGTTAGAAGCTAAACTGCATTTCGTTGTCTCAGTACCTGTAATATGTGCAATAACAATAAAGTTGAATTTAATCTTGAGCATGTAGTGCCGTGAAAAGAGAGTCGGAGGCGGTGTATTAAGAATGGAGTTCCAATCTTTATTATCCATTACTTCAGAGAGGTTAACACATGCACTGCTCTGCCATGATGAGCTAGCAGGAATGGCAGCTAAAGCTACAGGTGTTCCCCACTAAAGGGTCCGTGTGGCAACACAATAAGCAAGGTGAATTATGTCCAATAACGTGTCACCACAAGCAGGAACAAATGTATTTACTTAGTACATATCTGACATTAACGATTAAACACATGTTTAAGTGTTATGATTCTTTATAAATGCAAACCGAGTCAAGCCGACTCCGGAGGTGGCGGTATGCACCTTAAAGTTGTTTGCAATCCGCCAAAAAACCGAGAGAAGAAGAAGAAGAGGACGAAGCCGACTCCGAGCTGTCCGACTTCAGGCGAGCTTTTTGAGACCTCCGCCGGCTGCTATCGGCTATTCTCGTCTACTTTCGAGGCGAGCCGCAACGCGTCTCAAACAAGCCTAGTGTTTTCACTACTCGCGTATAAAAGCCCCGCCCCCACTTTCACAGCTGGTCGATTTCAACAGAGGAAAACCGACAACTGGAAGAATGAGTGGAAAAGCCTCACATAAATGTATAAGTGCTCACAGCTCCGTGGGAATTATTATGTGCAATTCATTTCTAAACGGCTTTCACATTACTATAATTATATTTTTATTGAAATGTAGGCTACATTTTACATCAAAACGGAACACAAAAGCAGGACCAACCATCATACATTGAATTCCTTGACTAACAGGAGAAAGATTCACTCATTTAAATAAATATTTAACCAGAAATGGGCCGGTTCTAATGGGTTATTCAGTTAAGCCCGATGAGAGGGGATACAGCTGTGCACATGTCATCATTAACAGACGTCGTGTAAGAGTACCGTTTGAGTGAACGAGGACATCCCAATTAATACCTGAGGACTCCTCTGTCCTCACGTCACCTCCTCGTGTCTCTCGCTCGCATCTTACGGAGGCAGAGCTAAGATGCAAGGAAGGGACGCGAGTGAGGGAAAGGAGGAGTCGAGGAGGGGTATTGGGATGAGGCTAGAGAATCAGCACTTTTGAAACATGGCTGAAACAGAGGGGTTTATGGGATGCTGCAATGCATGATCTGTTTGGTATTTCCAGCCAAACACTTCAGACACATGTTTTGTATATATGTGAGAACTATAATATATTGATGAAAAATTGTATAATAGGGGACCTTTAAGTGTGTGTGTGGAAGAAAATACTATCAATGTACCTACTGTGTACCTGCTTCCCTTTTCTCTTCAGCACACAGGGGCCGGTGATGAGGGTGGTGGCCAGTCTCTTTCTTCCTCTGGCAGCTGCCTTAAGGATTTCCGAACTCACCCCTTCATAGAGTGCCAGGGTGCGCGCGGGTCCTGTCACTACTTTGCCAACCTCTACAGTTTTTGGCTGACTACTGTTAGTCCAACAGAACAGTTTATCACCCAGAGGCCTGGCACCATCAAGGCGGCGGACCAACAGCGGCGCAAGTCCAGTCAGTGTCACGTCTGCCTCAGAGCAGAGTAAAGGACTTCTTCACTTTAAGTTGTAACATTAATAATACAAACCATTTCACTGTCAAAATAAAATACTGATTACAATTGAGACTTTTAGATAGATTTCTATTTGATTACTTCTAGTTACAAATAATCCGTAATTGTATCTGTATATTTTTTACATGTTGTTTTTATTTTAAGGAGGTGCTATTTCTAATGATGAAAATGTTTGATACTGCTGATGTAACTGAATATTTTGTGTTGGGAAAATACTGAGTGTACTCTTCCAATATCAGAGTAGCACATAATAACAAAGGCCCAACTGTAGCTGTGTACGTAACAGGATGTATGATTACCCGGAAGAGCGTCAGGACACACTGTTTTAGGCATATGATAGCTATGTGACAACGATTAACATGATGATTCAGCCTCTATGGAGATAGACATATGACAAGCATGATCATTTCTGACGTGGGTTTTAGCTAATCTAAAACTAAACATTGTATACTGCTTTGAACCGATATTCCTGCATCTTGTGACTGTAACACCCTCTCTTGTATATAAGCATCTATGTGATGACTACTTCCATTCTTGCAAGGATAATAAATACATGTATCCTGATATTGAAGCTCAAGCCGGTGACGAGTGATATTTTTTCAAACATTTTGCAATAATCCACTTTAGATTAGTCATTTAGGATAAATATTCTGAAGACTTTTCTTCATCATATAAAATGTGCTCCTTTATTACATATTTAAAAAAAAGTATCGACACGAGTCATTCAGCGTTCAATAGCTTTCGAGAATTGGAGAACACAACCACAACATACATGCAAAAATCCCAGGATGGGAGACGATTCATAATTTGAACAGGATACAGAATTCCATAACTAGGATAAGATTTAGGAGGTATGGATAGATTATATTTGAGGACATCTAGTGACAAATTGTCCAGGTTTGTAATTTGTATACAGTATAACTTATCTGTAAATCTTTTATATGTTATTCCTGTTCAAGTCATTCAGAGTTCGATAGCTTTCAAAAATCCGGTAAAGACAACAACGTTCATGCAAAAGTCCCAAGATGGGATAAAATGAATAATTTTAACAGGAAACAGATTTCCATAGCGGGTTTCAAGTTCATATTTATTTATTTCTCTCAACAGAACCCAAGTGACAATCAGAATACAGTACTTTTTCCTCAAACATGTTTTTTTCCTTTTCCTTTTTTTATTACGTAAAACAAGAGAACACTCAGGCAATAAGACAGAGGAACTCTGACAGTGCGGTGCTCTCTCTACCTTTTCACAGTGCCACGTTTATACACACAAAAAGATTGTACATCATTATTACATTCCAACCTCCACCCACCAACATCATGGATGGGGCAAAGTGAAGTGTCTTAAAACATCATTTTTAAAGATTCAACTTGCATACAGTGTAGCTTGGCCACACAGACACAAACAGCTCTCTCCCTCTCTCTCACACACACACACTACAACACACAACACACACACACACACACACACACACACACACACACACACACACACACACACACACACACACACACCACACAACACACACACACACACACACACACAACACACACACACACACACACACACACACACACACACACACACCACACACACACACACACACTCCAATCACATACAGGTACAACACAGAGGGACCTCTGCAGCTTTGATTCGCACCAGTGAGGGGGTACTGCACTTGCACTCTGAGGGCTAGCTCATTTTGTCAAACCCAAACTATTTTGGCAATGTCGACATTGCATTTAATGTGCTAACAAGAACCAATTTGGGTGATGTAAGTAGGAGGTTGAGGTAGAGGGAGAGAACAGGGGGAGAGGGAAATGTATGTTATCAGCCTGATTAAATGTGATGGAATATGATGGGTAGTGCAGATTGTATTTCGTTTTTTTACAAAGCCTCAACGATTTGTAGGCCGGTGTGCAACCCCTGTCTGCTTGACTGGGTAGAGCTGTTGCCATGTTATAGGTCCTTAAACGACTCGATCTCTAAAATGATTGCCAGCCAATTGAATTGGGAATATTGTCAGAGACAACCAATCACAGATGACTGTGTGTCACTCCCAGCCAATAAATTAAAAACTTAACATGGCACAGCTATCGTTAACATTTTCAAAAATATATATATAAGCATAATCTTGAAAGTTATTTATTAAGCAAGTGCATATGGCTATTATAATCTGCAGTAAAATTAAGAACTGTTCTAAAAGCTCAGGTGTTGATTGTACTGGGCTGGTCGTTGGCATCAAGTATTTACACTGTGTCATGGTGCTCGCAGTGTGCATGGCAAAGTAAAGGGCGCTAGTACTCGCCAGCTATTGCCCCAAACCCTTTTTTAAGAAAACAACCGTCCAAAGTGCAACGACACCAATATCTCGCTTTAACAGGCTTTGGCTGGTTTCGGAAATTATACTGTTAATAATGTATGTCCTAATTTACTACCTCCCCAACCCACCCTCATAGCGTATCTTAGAAAAACAGCACTTTATCTGTCCTCTACAACATGCCAGCCAACAGGTTTTCTTATAAAACGATTCAACCGCTTTGAAAGGCTCTGATGTATAGTGACTACACAGCTTCTTACTGTAATATACAAACTGAAGCACACAAAGTTTCCTGTTTCTGTTCTAGGACCAACTGTTGTACATTCTAGAACAAAGTGTACTGCACCAGGCATGGAGGGCGCTGGCATCTAAAGCACGTTGACGTTAACTCCTCAACTTACAATACAACAGTGAAAATGTAAAGTATATATAGACAGAGTTGAATAGTCCATTCAGTTTTGTGCTTTGGAGCACTAAAGAAAGAGTTGGGCATAAGAAAATTATGCTACTACAGTACAAGTATTGATAGATTATGCTTTCAAATGTAAAATAACCAAAACAAAAAGAACAAAAAACAAACATTAGATTGCATCTACATCTACTTTACATAATTTAAGATGCTTTTTTAATCCCCATCTCATTTAGAAAATATCTATTCATCAAATATCTATTCTACTAATTATATTACAAGAATCCAGTCACAGGAAATAGAAAAATAGCAAATATCACCAGTGATGATAAGAAAACATGACAACCTGAACGAGCAGAAATATTGCTATGGTAACCACCATTGTCCTTTGACATCAGCGAGTCTCACCCCGGGTGCTCTTATTGGCTGTCCTGACACCCCTGAAGAGTCAGCACAGCCCAGGGGAAAGAGGGTAATAGGGGGTTGTGTGGCAGGGAGGTCTGAGTGTTACTGTCAGATGGCCGTGTCCCAGAATACGGTTTTCTGTGTGGGGTAAGGGGGAGGACGGATCTTCTTGGCCCCGCTGCTCTTCCCCCAGCCTGGGGGGACAGATGCATTTTGCTGCTTGCACTGACTCTTCTCCTGGGGCTTGTCCTCGCTCCTGTCCGCAGGAGGAGGCCTCTCCAGAGATCTCTGCAGGTGTGGGTGTTGTTTGGAGCGGATCTCCATGCAGAGGGTGCGTTTCCTCTCAATCTGCTCTAGCATGGTGCTGTCTCCACAGATCCACGGCATCTGGGGCATCTGATGGGCAGAGAAAATGTATCAAGTAAAGCAAATACAGCTTGACCTCAAAGTTAGTTGCACAATTTAAACCTCCTAAAAAAGGTGGTTTTTCGTTATTCATGACTAAAGACACAATGAAAAGCTTAATATACTATTTGTTTTTAGTAGTTTGATCAGATATGGTGGTTCTTTTCTATGGGTTAATTTGTTAGGGCCTTTTTCCTTTTGACCGGAGCACAGTGTAACATTGGGAGAAGGGATATGAAATGCATGACATATCAAAAAGCGGGAATCAAGCTCTGAACAATGTGGTCAAACAAACCAAAGGCGCTGCTTTGATTTAAATGTAGCTAAATCCTGTTCGGTGCACACAAGGACATGATAACACTGAGCACAGAGAAAATAAGAAATACAGAAATATGGAGAATTCGCCAACTGTATTAACTTGTGTGTTCATATATACTATAGGACTGATTGAGGGAAAACATTTTCAGGGCCTGTCCAAGGCCACAAAATACAAGTAAATAAAAACAATCAAATCTGCATACCTGACTCTGATGTGCCTCTGCTGCTTTCCTCTGTGGAGTTCCCATTGGGGAGGGGTTAGCAGGCATAGAAGGTGAGCGGCAATACTTAGGTACTGCTTTCAGATCTGCATAGGGAGGGAGAATCACACATTTGGTCATATTTAATAAAAATGTTATGATACATTTGACGTTATTTTATGAATATGATGTTTTAACCCTCACCATTTCCTGTTCCCGTGGGCATTGGTGGGCTACCAGAGGGTCTCCCGTGGTGAGTAGGTGTCGTTGTGGATGAGTGCTGCCCTGACATTGTGCTGCCGTTCCTCTCTTGTGCTTTTGATTGGTCTGTGCTGTAGTTTGATCTGTTCTCTCGTCTGGGCGTGCCATCTGATCTGTGTCCTCGCTCTTTACCGTCGCACTGTCCCTTGGCAGAAGGGCTCCTTTTGACATCGTAATGATGCTGCTCTGAGCCATTTGGACTTCTGTCTTTGCTGTCCCGTCTCACTTCCAGACCAGTTCTGCTCAGATCCTTACTGTCCTGCCTGGGCAGAAGAGGAGGGGGGAGATCTCCCCCGTTGTGGCAGCTCCGATCTCTCCCATCATGCTTAGCTTCAGAGGGGAATCCAACCCTGTCCTTGCTGTTGATGCTTCTGGATGTTTCTTGTCGGGGTAGGATCTCAGGCGGCTGATCTATTCTACCTTCATGTCTATGTTCAATTTCATTTCTTGCTCTCTCTTTGAATTCCTGTGGGGGTAACAAATCAGGACGGTGGTCTTTGCTTTCATGCCTATATTCTGCTGCAGTTCTAGCTCTGTCTTTGATCTCTTGTCGATGGAGAAGCTCAGGTGGCTTGTCTCTGCTTTCATGCTTTGAGTCCACCCCGTTCCTGTCTCTCTCTTTGCTATCCTGTCGTGGTAAGAGCTCAGGCGGCTGATCCAGCAGTCTCTCTCTGCTTTCATGTCTACCGTCCACACCGTTTCTTGACCTTTCCTTGCTTTCTTGTTTTGGTAACAGCTCAGGGGGCTGATCGAGCAGTCTGTCCTTGCTGTCCTGTCTCATCAAAGACTCCATCGCGTGTCCCCCACCCCGATCTTTACTGTCTCTCCTCAACATTAGGTCACCATTGCTGAGCCCTCGGTCCTTGGA